TGCAAAAAAATCTTGTTTATACTAATACTGTAATTATAAAGTCTGAGCCTCCTGCAGGCAAAGTCAGACTGAGAGAGTAAACCCTGCTGAAGCAAAGTGACTGGCAGCGTATCGGAAAGCGAGGCAAGGAGGATTTAGGAAACATTTTAAATCCTGAAGATGTTGTAAAGCGCTTTGTCTCCTAAATCATAGAAATTACAGAAAGATACTGAGTTTTAGGCAGAAAAACATCTCTTGAGGTGACAGTGAGGAATACCTCAGACGTTTAAGCTCAGTAGATGCAAAGCAACTCAGAAAAGGAGAGATCACCACTAATTTAAAAAATAAATACTTGCTGTCATTGGATATTTTTCCAAATCTATTTAACTATTTTGAAGGACCGATGACTCAGAAACACAGCACTACAGACCCAGATAGTGAAGATGTAAAAAGAGAGCAATAATAGAGAGCTGCTATCACGCAAGAGCACGAAACAAAGAGCCAGCACTAACAGAGCTCAGCGCATCCCATTTGGCCTGCTGGAAAACATCTGCCGTTTGTCAGGACTACAAAGCAAGCAGAGCCCTCTCCTCCTTGATCTCTAGAAATTAGGGAAATTCTGTTGTGCTAATTACCTGGGGAGACAACGTGGGGAGAAGGCAGATAGCGAGTGACACTTGAAGACAACATTTACACCAATAAAAATTAGGTAGATATTTCAAGTTGCTAGGAACCACAAAAAGTACCGTGCCAACCTTCCACAGCAAGGCAGGAGAAAGCAGATCCCTGTGTGTAAAGTTAGGGTGAAAATTAAAAAAAATAAAAACATCATAAATTATATAAATAATAAGCGCAGCAAGAGAACCTCTGGAGCTGCTGGGTCTGCAGAGGTAGGGAGGATTTCAAATGATCAGCTTCCCCAAGTACACATGGTTTGAATTGCTGAGAAATGGAGCAACCCGCCGGCCTGCAGGCTGGAGTACCCCTCCGCTCTTCCCACTGCCAAGCCATTATTGGGAAATATTTGTCACATATTAACTGGAACATCAGATTACTACACTGAACATTTAACACCGTTTTGTAATATATATACGTTCAAAAGCATATGACACTGTCTCGGTGTGAATTCGAGATGAAGACAGGGGCATGCATCATCCAGCAGCCAGGAAATGTGGAGTTAAGGCTCTGGAGCGCAGCGCCTGTGGAGGTGCTGTTCAATAAAAAGGCACATGGAAACACAATGCATACGTTGAACTACACACTGCAAGAGCAGCCGAAAGAGATGGAGATTTTCACGCCCCTCTGTCTGCAGTATAGCAAGGCCCAGCTGCTGCGCAGGGCATTTTCTGTGGACTGGGGCTTGTTTTAAGCCTTTTTAAACTGAATATAAGAGAAAACATTTGCTCTCAGACTCTAGCAGGGTGCAACCAGCACCTCGAGCTCTTGAGGGACCTCCTCAGAGACCCTGAAGACTTCTGGCATGGTAAATACTGTATTTAACGAGAGCCTTTTGCACCTCGGGTTTTAAAAGACTGTGCTTAAAAATACAAGGGGGAAAATAAAAAAAAGACTCCTTAAAAAAATAATAAAAAAAAAAAGAAGGCAGCCAAGTCACACAACTGTAAAACAAAGTGTTTTCAAGCGTGGAGCTTTAGTCTTGCTTTCAACCCATTTCCAAGTGCTCATCAGCCGAAGGCTGTCCTAAATGCCATATAAACAAGTGTTCCTGCACCTGCTGGGTTTTATCTTGCAGCAAAGGCTGTGCGAGGATCCCACCAGAGAAAAAGGCTGAACATAAGGGGACGAGGGGCCTCCATGCAAAATATTACAGACCTGTCTCAGGGAATGACAATAACACCAATACTGAGCTGCTGTTTCACAGCGAGCCCACATATGGGGACAGCCTGGCCGGGGCTGCCCAGTGCCAGCAGCACGCAACCGCTGCGGCCCCATCCCAAATAGCTGAGGGGGGCCAAAAGGCCACGTCCTCACCACAGCGGGGTCACCAACCTCCCCCCCCTCCCATCGCGGCATTCCGGAGCCTGACCCGCACCTGGTCCAGCTGCTCCAAATCCCCGAGGATGCTTTCCTCTCCCTCGGCCACAGAAATGCCCAAACCACGAAGTAACCAAAGTGACACAAAGTTGTCATCATCTCCCCCATCGCTTTGGTTAAATAAATAAAGCAAAACAACTCAGCTCCAAGCAGCACACAGATGCTGAGAGCAACTACGGCGACACCTTTTTGCAGTATCACCCACATCAGAGCCGGAGCAGCAATTTTTTAAGCTTTTCTAAAAAAAAATTATGATTATTTTTCTTGGCAATTGAGGTATCTCCATCGCCCTGACGAAATGGCTGGGCCCCCTCTGCCGGCCACCACCCCTCTGCCGGCTCTGCGGCAGCTCTCCGCAGCCCTGCCTGCCCCCAAAAGCCCTGAGTGTCCCATTTTAGAAGTCAGTGCTGGATTGTTATAAAGTTGAGCCCTATAGCCAAATAGGTGATTTACTGCAGAGCACAAAACCATGGGTCAGTTTGGGGTTTTTTTGGGGAGGGATATTTGTTTTGTTTGTGTGTGTTACAAACACCGATTTAGGACTTCGCTGTAGTCCAAATAACTTGAGCCTCACTTAACTTCTGAATGGATCATAGTCATCTTGTCCCAAACTGCTTTTAACACGGAGCAAGTCAATTTTATCAAAGTAGACCCCCAAAAACAACCCCCACCCCCTCAGGCTGCCAATAAACCCCAAATTGACTCACATCAAGGAAAAAATGGGTCTTGTTTAGCACAAGCCCAGCTCGCAGGGCAAGCTCTGAGCACGCAGTTTGCTCCTGCCACTGTCTGTGGGTCTGTGGGTCCGCAGGGCAGCGAGTCCCCCTCTGCCCAAAGAGGCACTGAGGGAGGGACCACACCGCCCTGATGATGCCCACAGCACCACTGACAGCAATTCGGTGGGCTTGCTTTAAATCCAGTGATAAGAAGGAAGTCTGTTTAAGCTTATCAGGGTTTCTGCAGGAGGAAAGACCTCCAGCCCAGGCGTTTGGGATACGCAGCAGCTTCCAGCTGCCCCTGAGGAGCAGGAGAGGGGCTGCAGGAAGGGCTGCCAGTGCTGGCCATGCTCCCTGCCCGTGGGCAGGGCTGGCAGGATCTCCCCATTTCCCCGTTCCCTCCACGGGGGGATTTTCCTTTCTCCAGGGGCTGCTTTTTTTGGTGCATGGAGGCAAATTGAAGCTTAGCTGTTAGTTTGCAGCCTGGCATAGCTCTGCAGCAAATGCCAGCGAGGGCCACAAGCTCTCAGGATGTTCCTGAACCAAGCTCTTTATCTACAGAGCAGAAGGCAATTCAGCCTTCTTCAGGAGAGGGGGGAAAAAAAAAAAAAAAAAAAAAAAAAAAAAAAAAAAAGAAACACATGTAAAGATCCCTTTGATTTGCTCAGATCTAGCTGAAAGGCTTCAGGACAGCTTGGCAGCACATCCTCGCCTTAGCACAGCACTCAGCTCCCCAACAGTGGTAGCCAGGAGCAGCCACCGATGCCACAACGTTTCCTACCCACCAGGAAATCACTTTTCCTTCCTTTGGCTCACAAATTACTTTGACATTCATTACTAATGACTGTAACAAGTATTTCAGCCGCACGTGGGAAAACCTCCCCTCTTCTCTCTTCCTCCCCACCATGCAGCAACCAGCAAACCCAGTGACCCGGAACAGAACTGGGACTTTCTTGGCCACAAAGGAGCCTCTTCAATCCCAACTGCTTTCTGCAGAGCCTCTTGACCACTTAAGCACACCAGTAGTGCCCCAGTTGCACAGACCGGAGCAAGATGCAGCCCACAGAGCCCCGTGAGGCTGATGGACTTGGTTTTTGCTTGGGTCTGCACATCAGAAGGGAGAAAACTAATTTGACCAGTGGTGTCCAAAGAGCTGAAAATAAGCAGGATTTGTGTCTCAGCTGATGGGGTCTGCTTACAAGGCAGCAAGGCATACAGGGCACCTGTAGGAGCCTTCCAGTAGAAAACCAGCGAGTACAACTACAGGAGCACATGTAAGAGCATCGTTTCTGAAATGTTTCCAAGGTTATTACACATAATCTTTATGGAGAAAAAGTCCAGCTTTTTTCTCCTGTGAATACAGACTAATGCTGTGTGTTCTGGGAGGATTCATACCCAGGATGGCAGAAAAAATTGAGACTGTCCATTTGCCTATGATGCATCTACATGTAGCATTTAAGGGGTGTTTTTTTGGTCTTTAAAACCAGAATTGAACTGTTTGCTGCTTGCAAAGCTTTGTAACATGCCTAGGCATTCTCCCTCATCAAAGTACTGCACATCTTTCACCCATCTTCACTACTTCTGTGAAAAGAAAAAAAAAAAAGAAAAGGCTTCAAGTGCCTGAGCCCAAAGTCATTCATGCTGTTCAGTATGACAGCAGAGCACTTAACGGAGCATTTTTATAAATGAGATTCCTTTACAAACTAATCTAAGCTGTTTATTGTTTCCAAGGAGCATGCACTTCCACAGCAGAACAGGAAGTTTTGACAGTTTAAGAAGTTCATTAAACTCTGGGAGGAAATTTAAACAATCAGTGACAGCTTTCATACAGCAAGGCAGCGCTGGAGAAGTCGCTACCCTCCTAAAAGGCAGAGAGGCTGCAGCTTTTAATTATCACACTTGCATTAAGCCCCAGTGATTTTGTTACTACTTCTAAATTGTTTTGGCCCAACACCCAGGGCTCACAACCGAGTAAAGCTATTCACTCTTTTATTCTTATAGCCAAACACGCTTTTGTCCAAACCTCAAACTCCTTTATCTGTAACCAGGCCAAAGCAAGGCAATGGAAGAAGTTAACAGTCTCAAGTACAACAGAGTGCTTCAGCTTGGAAAAAAAACACTTCTTAAGACATTTTCCTTGATACGGAGGAATATATAAAACAGGAGAGGAGGGGCTGAGTGGCATCAGTCCAGCGAGCAGGTGGCTTCTGGGCAGTCTGGCGTTGGCCGTGCCGGTACGTTTGCACCTACCTGGGGGGCACATGCAGTCTGACGGAGCCTCTCTCACCGTCCGCAGCTTTGCTAGTCCTTCACCCAGTTTCTGTTTAGAGGAGGAATAAAAATAGCCATTTAGAGAGCACGTTATATCTAAATGCGGACTGCACGTGCATGCCAACAGCCAAACCATCCAGCACACTTCCTTCCAGAGAGAGGTAATAGTTTCATCCTGTTGCCTTCAGCCTCTTTGGATAATGCCCCACGCACACAAAATATTAAATGATTCTCAGCAAGTGGCCAGTCTACAACCCTCATGCGAGGCAGGCAGAGACTCCTGCACATCCCAAAAGTCCCTGGAGCCAAGCACCATGGGCTGGATTCACCCTGAGCAGCCATGACGAGTCCCATATCCAGATGTCAGCATCATCTCAGCAGCCCCTCTGCTCCGCCACAGCAGCCCCGACAGCGAGGCAAACACCCCGGGAAAGCCCCACTGCAACCAGCACCAAAGCTGCTTCCAAACACCCTGGAGTTTACATAGCAGGGGGATATTTTCACAACAGATGTGACCCAATTGGGCTGACTTTGTACTTAAAATTCATGCTATGTGGAGTTATATAGGTTTCCCTAGAAGATGGATGAGGAGATGAAGGACAGTGGGGTGGGCACTGCCAGCGAGACTGGGGTGCTCACCCGTCCCCAAGTCCACCCAAACCCCACTGCTTCCATCTCTGAGGTGAAAAACTTCGCAGTGGGACAACTAGAAGATGTAAAAATTCACAAAACTAAAGCAATGTCTACGTGGCATATTGCAGACAGATGTGAGCGCACTCTGCCTGCTCTCTAAGCCAACCGAAATGTTCGTGCCTGCATTTAGGACACTGCCAAGCCCAAGTTAATAAGCCCCGATGACAGGTAAGTTGAATTAGCTCAGGCATAGCGTGTCGTGGCTGGGGCAGCCCAGCAAGGATGGGAACATCCCACCTTCACCCGCAATCACTGCGCTCTCAGTCCTCCAGGAATGCCCTGTCTCACCTAAAGTATTACCAAGAGAGAAACCAATAATCTGATAACTGAAGCCTCCACATTTCAAAGTACTTACTGGATTCGGGGTGTTCAGACTTGAATTTTATACAGCTGATGGCCAAGTCTGTGTTTAAATATTTGAACACGGTAGACTATTCAGGAATTAGGCTACCTGTGAATTAGGTTCGTTTCCTTTTATCCTGGGGATTAAGTCCCCCAGACTGTTGTTGAAATCCTGTGCATTCCTTTCTAGCTGCTCAGATCCGATGCAAAGAGAGGTCCTGAAAGTATCAGCATGGTTTCATAGCACCTGACAGAGAAGTCCTAAGGGAAGTATAAATACCAAAGCGATCCAGCTGCCTTCTGCAAAACACATGCTCTCCTTGAGAAAAAGTGGCAAGAAAGTATCTAAAGAGACTTTTCTGACAGGCACTTGCAATCGACATGTTAGAGGGTCACTCAGTTTTTATCTGTTTATTTTTAAAGTAATTTGGATGATGAAGATGCTCGAGGAAATGAAAATAAGCTCTTCCATCCTTTTAGTTCAGCAGGCATCACTGGGAACAGCAGAGGAGATCTGAATCCTGGAGCGAGCCCTCTGTTCTCCCATTGAATTGTTCTTGTCATGAAACTGATTAATCTGGACACTCTCTGCCTACCGCGGACAATAAATCCTTTGTGAACAAAATGGTCTAGCTTTGTTTACAACAACTGGATGATTCTATAATCCTCCCATTAACATTTTCCCTCCAGTATGAAAACTACACGCTTCGAATCGGGGCTTTTGATGTAGAGCAAGTGGAGATGCTGCCACGTTTGGACCACACTGTTGGAAATGTTTGGAAGGGCATCACAGCAGGACCCTGCAGCACATCCCACTAAAGGAACAGCCAAGGGAAGAGCAAGGTCCCACCATATTAAAATCAGCAATTTTTCCAAAGTTAGATGGACACTTGTCACAGGGCCAAAAACTAAATCCTAGTTGTCCAAATTGGCTTTCATTGCCTTAACTACACACTCACCCTTCCTTTATTATTTCCTATCCTCTTTTACTTGCCAAACATTTAAACAACGCTAAGAGGAACAGAGCCAGCATGTTGGTGTTGTATTTTCTGCTCTTTATAGGCAGCTCTGCCATCAATTACACCCCAAACTCCTAGGTTGGTATATGGTGTAATGCTTTTTGGGCAGTGACAGAGAACAAAGTATGCTGGGTCATGCACAGAGAGCGTATGGAGCTTTGGTTTCACTTCTGAAATACTGTGGTAAACTTCAAAGGAGGATCAACTCAGAATTTAACAAAAAAACTGACCCCAGGCATCAGTTGATGTTCATGATGATGGAAATATTCTCTTGCTCTCCAGAAACTTCGGCACAGAAAGGGCAGAAGTTGCCCGATGAGCGAGCGATCTTATGTAATGGAGTTTGGTCAAGGAACAGACACTTTCTGAAACTTTAACATAAATAAGTTCATTTGAAATAACTATTAATAGATAGCACAATCGCTGCCATGCATTCCTTGAATCTGTTACTTGTTTCAAAATTTGCTTTCGGTATTGACCAAAATTTGGTCATATTAAACGTTTCAACAAGCTCACTCTGGCATTAGAGACCCAATTATGTGGTTTTGCTTTATTTTCCCCCTGTACAATCTCCATCTGAGTGTTCCCAGTACAAAACAAGCTTTCCACACTTAACTACATCTCAGCAAGAGGTTGCACATGATCTTAGGCAGTGCCACAGAAACCCGTCCCATTGCTAAGCACATTTATGGGAGTAATTGGAACAGAACCACTGCCACGACTGGCAGGCTAATTCCTGCCTGGAGAAAAGCCGTTCACTACATTTGGTGATTACGCCTCTCAGGCACCCCTCTGGTCTGGTATTCAGGGTTTTCACAAAAATATTTGTTCACATTTCTCTTTTATCGAGGGACATGAACGCAACCAAGTTTCCAGGAGAAGGGCCACGCTGCGGCGGCGCGAGCAATACCCTCGCCCTAACCCCAACAGCACCGCGAGGTGCGAGGAACTGTTTCACATCATCCCCTCAGTGCTGCCTCCATCCCCCCCCGCACCCCTCACCGCACACAAAACACATTTGGGCACGACTGAGGCTTCGTGGCTGTAACGATTTTAACGCAGCACCGTGTTTTGCACCCCAGTCAGGCCATTAATAAAATCCCAGCGTAAAACCTTCCCCAGATGTCAGAATCGATCACTCGGGAGCGTCCTGCAGCAGCCCCATAAGCTGGGTTGAAGCTTGCTGCAAATCCTAAACTCCTGTTCACACAAATCCAGCAAATCAACTGTGGGGTCGTCAAACGATGAGTGATGGGAGCCCTCCCCGTTCCCCGTGCCTGGAGAAAGCCCCAAACCTAGACACTAAAGTTTGAGGGGAAAATAGAACCCTGGGATCAAGTGTAACTTCTCCCAGAGATTTGGTTTAGTTATGGAGAAGGGCATCACTGTGGATAATTGTTCTCTAAGTAGGACAAATCTTTTAGCACAGCAATCTTTACTGAGTAATTTCGGAAAATCCTAGAATTGAACGTGAAATAACTAGTCGCTAGTCTTCTCCACCCACCATAAATCAGTTCAGCGCTGCTGGACCACACGATACTCTGTGATAGATCGTCCAGGTAAGAGGGATGATGTTCATAAATTCATATCGAGGAAATTATCGTCTGTTACATCCAAAGATAAATAGTAATTAAGTACTCGGGTTACCTTTACCAGTGAATGGCATGAGGGATACCGCTGAATTGCTCGCCTTCCCACCTGGGGCGCTTTCTTTTTTTTTTTTTTTTTTCCCCCTAAATCAGAAAGGCTGCGCCTCGCCCTACAGCCCGATCCACGGAAACGGCCAGAAAAAAGGGGAGAAGTTTGGCAAAAGGGAGAAAGTCTGTCCAAAGGGGACGAGGAGCCGCTGACACACGGAGCGGGGCCCGGAGCGCCCTCCTCGCCCCGGGACGGCCGGTCCTGCTCCCCGCGGCCGCGCAGCCAAC